CTATCATTCTTGTACCGTCTTTTTTTCCCGTTCTTCCGTCTTCTCAGTTCTCTGGAGTCTGGAGTTTTTTAAGTTTGAAGGAATAATGGGCTACTGAATCTGGATTGTGAGTTTTATTAAAAAAAGAAAAAAATTGGACCTCCTCAAAATTTGGGTTTGGGGCGGATGCGCGCCTAGGCGTCCGTAAGCCTAGGAACGCTTAGGCGAACATTAAGCGGTTAACATTGTTGTTGATCGCTTAATTTCTGTTTAGGTTCAAGGCGAAGCGTTTTCTTCATGCTTCCCGCTTAGGTGCCACTTAGACAACGTCCAAACGCGCTTTTTAGAGCACAGGAAAAAGTATAAATCGACCACCAACGTTTGAATTATGTCACTCTGTTTTTTAATAAATTATTGCACTTTCTCATTATTATAAACGATAAGAATAGAGAAGTGCTTGCGTTAGCTTGCCCCTATGTAATTTACGAGGCCAACATCTTTCCAAGAATATCCCTCACGTTGGTGGTCACAAATTTGCATACCTGGACAACAAATACTTGAGACAGAAATCACGCTAGTTTACTCACCTAATATATCGTGCCAACCAGTCATCACCTTTTTTTCACTAACAAGTGAACGCATCGGATTTTTCCAGACATAACTCTTGCATTTCACATTCTCTCTTGAGAAAATGATAATTTTTGTAATTTGAAAATTTTATAGATATCTACTATATTTTTATAATTATTTGTAATTAATTATAAGTTTTCGATTGAAGAAAAAGTTAATTCTGATAAGTTAGATTCACGATGTTGCAGTTTAAAGAAATTGTCAGTAATTTAAAATTAATTAAGTTTGTTTATTAATTTCCAAATGATTGATAGACACGTGCATTTTGTTATATAAACATAAACCTATCTTTTTATTTATCACATAGACATTTAAAGCGGAATACATATATTGTGATTATCCCAACGGGTTTATTTTTTTTAATCTTCAAGTTTGATAACCCAAAAAATAAAAATAAAAAAAATTTAATTTTCTTGATGTTCTTGATTTGCCTCCGATCCTTAAATCTTTAACATTTTTCAAGTCCAAAATAACTTGATGAATTGACACCAAGATTGGATGAAAAATCTCAAAAACAAGAACCTACTTCTAGAATACAAGACTTGTTAATTATTGGAGATCAAACTCGTTATGAAAATCTCTAGCCTCCAAGTCTTGGTTTCTCCATGTCATGTTTCACACTTGGCATTTTTTTTCTCCTTTGCTTCTACACTTTGATACCACTTGTTGGGAATTAAGCTCAACTCCTTTTATTTTCCCACAAGATTTTCATTTTAGAGAAAAACAGCTGACAAGAAAAAATATAAAAAGATCGCAAAAAAAAAAAAAAGTTAGAACTTTCGGTAAACAAAAATTTATGTAATCATATAAAATTTGACTTACCCAACCCCCACAAGCATATGTGGGGAGAAATTGTATTATCAGTAAATTACTTTTTAAATAAGTGCCCTGAAAGAAAATGTAAAAGACCCTTTATGAGTTATAGAAAGGAAGAAAGTCTTCCTATAAATACTTATGAGTGTGAGGGTGTTTTACTAAAGTGACCGTTCCAACATCTAAGAAGGTAAAGATAGCCCGAAAACTGTAGATTTCATCTTCATTGGCTATGCACATAATAATAGTGCTTATCGATTTCTTGTGTATGAATCTAAAATCTCAGAAATACACAAAACACGATATTAGAATCAAGGAAAACTTCATTCTTTGAACATGTATTTCCGTACAAATCCAAAGAGAAAGCAATCTCTTCTAAACTTCATTCTTTCAATTTTTTTTGCTTTCAACAACTGACTTTTGGTTTCTGAAACTGCTAAAACTCCAATGATTATTGCTATTAACGTTTGAGACTGTTAAAACTCTAATGGTTATTGCCACTGAGTTAATGTATAGATTTAACTCATCATTAATGAGGTTAAGTCTATATGTAGCCTCGTTGTTCCACTGTTCCAGACATGAATAATACACTGTCTGCATTACAGTTCTAAAACACACGAAATTGTCCTTTGTCTGCATACATAATTTACTGTCTGTCAAGGTCTTGGTGGTGATATTGTTCAGATTCTAAGTCATTTCGTCGAAGTAGAATCCACAGTGTTCGGACTCTACTGGTTTACCGTTATATCCTAAGAAACAAACACTCAAGTTAAATCTCAAGCACCTACGGTGAGGGGGCGAATCTGTTTTAAGGGAACTTTGCTCACACAAGCTTCGATTTTTTAAAATTCAATTGAATTTTTGATTCTCTACTATTTAGATTATTTGTTCTATTTTATCGTGATTTATATATCATATTTTGTTTGTTGTGATTAGCAAATTATTTAATTTGCTATATCTTAACTATTATTCGATAAGTTATTGTCTACACGGTAAATTGCATATACGGTATGTTAGTTGCATATTCGGTAAGTTGCATATACGGTAAGTTATATATCCGGTATGTATTGTAAATTTGGTATTTGTTAAACTGGTATTCGTTCAAGAATATTTTATCTAACATTAGATAGATTGTGGTAATACAAAACCATATTTCGTTAGGATGGACCAAATAATTAGTCAAAAAATGAGAGCCTTCTACTATATTGTTAAAAATTGTGAAAGTGAATAAGATGAATTATGTGGATAGTAATAATAAGAACGAAGATCAAAATTCAAAGATATCAAATTGTAGAGTCACATTTAATGAATTTTTGAATTTGATTCATGTTTATGACAATTAATTAAGGAACGGTGATACTAGTAAAGCGTGTGCGAGTGGGGGTGTTAGAGTGAAGACATGCCATGATTTGGAGAATGTGAGTCAAGGGGAAGGTGTTTGGAATTGACTCAATGTAAAAATATTTAGTCGAAGGGCCTCATGATAATTATAATAAAGAAGAAGGACATGCATTGAAAAAAGGTAATTAAGTTTTGGGTGAAGAGTCGTGCTAGCTGTATGTTAGTGGTGGTGAGGTGAGATTTGGAGGAGAAATGGGCAGTTTTTGTTGGATTTATGTGATGGAATAGGGCTCGTTTTATTATCAATGCCTAGAGATATTGTAAGAATAATGTTATTTGCAGTCGTTTACTACCGTAATCGCCCTACGTGACATACATGTGACGGTTAATAATTTATTAGATAAGTTAATAAAAACTATCACAATAATGCATCAAATCACTGCTAGTGAACTTGTTTGTAACTAATTATTTGTGCTAAGTATATTAAAACATAGGTGTTCCATTTAAAATCATCAAGTCCTTGTTTGGTGGAGATTAAAATCAGATTTTAGTATTATTTTTTTTATATAAAAATTGATTAGATATGTGGTTGAAAAGTTGTAGATAGCATAAAATATATAATTAAAATTAATTATTTACTTTAATTTGAATTAAAATTAAAATTTTAATCTTTAGGAACATGGCTAAAGCTTTAGGCACAAAACGGTCATCGCCATTAGAGCACAATTTTAAGATGTGTAAAAAATATTTTAATTATCCCATCGAGTAAAAAAAAAAAATCTTAATTTTCTTGATGTTCTTGATTTGCCTCCAATCCTTGAATCTTTAACATTTTTCAAATCCAAATTATACTTGATGAGTTGACACCAAGATTGGATGAAAAATCTCATAACAAGAACCTACTTCTAGAATACAAGACTTGTTAATTATTGAAGATCAAGAAAACTTTGTTATGAAAATCTCTAGCCTCCAAGTCTTGGTTTCTCCATGTCATATTTCACACTTGGCACATTTTTTTTCCCCTACGCTTTGATACCACTTATTGGGAATTAAGCTCAATTACTTTTATTTTCCCATAAGATTTTTCATTTTAGAGAAAAATAGCTGACAAGAAAAAATATAAAAAGATTGCGAAAAAGTTAGAACTCTCACTAAATAAAAATTTATGTAATCATATAAAATTTGACTTACCCAACCCCCACAAGTATTGTAGGAAAAATAATATATCATAAACATTATCGCTCTCATCAATTTTTACTCTTTGAACAACTTACAAAAAGGACAAGAAAAACCAAAATACAAGGATATAAAAGTTGATGGACTAAGGTAAAATAATATTAAATCTGATATTATTTTGGGTAAAATAATTAATTATTGATAAAGTGATAATTGGTATATCAATATTGGACTCTTTTTGTAGCTTGTAATTAATTATAAGTTTTCGATTGGAGAAAAAGTTAATTCGAACAAGTTAGATTCAAGATGTTGCAGTTTAAAGAAATTGTCAGTAATTAAAAATTAATTAAGTTTGTTTATTAATTTCCAAATGATTGCTAGACACGCACACTTCTTCTATATATTAAAAGTGGCTATATAACGGAATTTTCTTGTTTTAACGGAAAAACTAACGGAATTTGACGGAATTTCTTGTTTTAATTATAATATCTTCAATATATTAAAAGTGGCTATGAAACGGATTCAGGCAGAAAATCTTGTTCAATTTTTTCCACCGTTAACTTTAACTGATTCCGTTAAGTAGCAATTAATCCACCCTTTGTGCCAATTTATGTACTGCCTGGTGGAATTCCATTATAAGTGCCAATTCTGTAACCGGCCTTTTTTGTCTGTTTGAATTCCATTTCTTGATAAGTGAAGTGGGATGTTATACACGTTAAGAAAGCCTATGAATTACATTCAGTTTACTACATTCTATTACTTTCAGTGCATTGATGGTAAGGTTTCAAGGTAGATTGAAAAGTGAGTCTAACTTAATTTTTTGTTTATAGTATAAGTCTATCTACATATTATATGGTTTTTCATGTTTTTTCCGTGCTCTCTCTGAAATCAGGTGTGGTGAAGGAGTGCAGTGGTGCAAAGGTTTGAAGGTAAATTAAAAAGGTGAGTTTTGCTGCGTTTTGTGTGTTTGCTGTTTGAGCCTCACCGTTGAGAAGAGAACACTTGTTGATCATTTAACCCATTTTCGAGAGGAATTCAGATTTTCTCAACAGCTTAGGGGGATGTTGATAAGGCATCCTGATATGTTCTATGTTTCTCTGAAGGGCGATAGGGACTCTGTTTTCTTGCGTGAAGCATATCACAATTCCCAGTTGATAGAAAACGACAAGTTGTTGCTTATTAAGGAGAAGCTCCGTGCACTTGTTAATGTTCCACGATTCCCGGGGAGAAATGTTCCGACTGCTGATGCAGATGAAGCAGCAGATACAGAGGCGAAAGATGGAACTGGTGAACACAAGGAAGATGAATGGTCTGACATTGATAATTTAGCAAGTGATGGATTTGATGACGATGACGATGAAGAAAATGAGGATGATTGGAGTGATGAAGAAGATGATATGCCCCCAGACTTCAGTGATGACGATACAATTGTGGATATAGAATTGAGCAAACCAGAGAAGCAAGCGAATGGCTCGAAGACAAGCAATGAGAAGGTTCTTGCTCCTGTGTTTCCAGATGGCCGCCCAAGAGAATGCTGGTGATTACATAGAGATTTACTTCAAAACACTTGGGCGGACTAAATTGACCAATGACCTTGCAATTAATACTATTAGATTTTGACAAGATTGTAATGTGAAGAAGGGATGCATTTTCTTGCTCACAGCTCCTGTATTCCTCAGAAAAAATTTGTTGTGGATTTGTGTTGGACATGTAGGTTCAATATAGTACTTGGGAATAGGAATAGGAACAGAATTAGTACACGTTTCTTCTGATCTATACAAAACAGTGTTCTTATTTCTTTATTAAAAAAAAAATGGCGGGTCGAGGCAAAACTCTTGGATCCGGAACTGCAAAGAAGGCTACGTCTAGGTACATCCCCCAGAATTCCAAGTAGTATTTTTTTTCAGCCTCCCTTCTTCTCGTGTGCCTTCTTCCCTTGTTCTGTGTCAATTTCCAGCCTCTGTTTGGTGTCAACTTCCAGCCTCCTCTCGTATCTTCCAGGTACTGGCAAAACTCCCCTCCTTTTTGTCTTTCAAGCCATCAAAACAAGGAAAGAGAAATCAATCCCCAATCTGCCTCCTCCATTCTGCAGATTTTCAGCCGTATATTGTGTGCCGTTTTTCGCCAGGAAAACGTGGCAATCTCAAAATTTCCATTTCAGGATAAATTGTAGACCATTACATCAGCTTTCTACANGCCTCTTGAATTAGCTCAATGCGATTTCAGATGAGGGAGATATGGTGAGAATACTGAAGACAGCGCAGATAAGCTTCCAATTCAGGATTGATTTAACCCCAAATATCTTCCACTGATTTGCTCCCTTCTTTCCCGTGTCTCTTTTCTTTTGATTGAACTGTGTCAAGCCCACTTAAAATGAGTTGTCTTTTGAGCCTTGAGCTTTATCATATATGGCTTCATTTCTACAATAAAATTATTAAAACCACCACTAGGATTGGTCATTGTTCAACTATAGAAAAAATATCATTAATAATCCCAAATATGCGTATTTGTATGAAGCGTTTATATGTGGTGGATTTTTTATGGGTGCAGGAAAAGGGTATTTCCGGGTGAGAGTTCTAGCGGGTGTTAAGAAGTGGATGTGGTCAAATCCCGACGCCGATTAATCGGTCTTCCAAAGCCAAATTATTGAAGCAAAAAGAGGTGATTGATTTTTTTTTAAGCTTTATTTTTTTGTATGTATTTTGATGAAACCTTCTGTCCTTTGTACACTGGATTCTGGTAGCAAGTGGTTATAGGTTTTCTTCTATTTTTCCTTTTAGGAGTGGGTATAGATTTTTTTCTATTTTACCAATTTAGGCATTGGATTGTTGTTCTTTTTTTGGGGATTTTTTTCTTCAATTCTGGAGTTTTTGTGATTAAAATTAGAATTGCATTGAGCATAATAGAATTGGGCGTTCGAAATACAATGAAGAGTTTTTTTTAGCTGAAACCATTTCGTTTTAAGGTTTCAATGTAGTGATGCATTGCTGAGTTTTCTTAACTGTTTTTCTTTTTCTTTTTCTTCTTCTTTTTCCTTTTTTTTATTTTGCAGTTACCACAGCTTAATATAGATTTTTTTGTTGTTGATTGATTTTTGATGGAGCTCGTATAGATTATAATCCTATCTATTTTAAAGTTTATCACCATTGATACTGAAAAATTATTGATTACCACAGCTTAATATAGATTTTTTGTAGTTGATTGATTTATGATGGTGATGTAAACATAAATATGGCAATCTGTGCCTAAAATTTCTGTATTGGGAAAGGAGGGATTCAGTGTCAAGAGCAATGAGTAATAAGATTGCATGTATTTCAGGTCACAACATTGGAGACTCTGAGGATGACAACAAGACAAGGCTTGGATCTTTCAAGAAGAAGGCAATTGATGCCTCTTCAATGTTCAAAAAATCTTTGACCAGGAGAAAGAGAAGCAACAAAGTTATGTCCGTTGTGTTGGAGGATGAACATGACCAAGAGGAATTAAAGTCTGTGGATGCCTTGCGTCAAGCACTTATTCTGGAAGAATTATTGCTTGGAAAACAGGATGACTTTGCTTGGAAAACACGATGACTTATCATATGATGCTAAGATAACATTCTTTTTACTTTTACAGTCTTCAAGATCCTTTATTTGATTTCGAGATGGATGCAATGCACACACATTTTTGGTCCAATAGCAGCAATTTGAATTGCATGAGAGATGCAAATTTTCATTATCCATTGCTTGGTGAATATCTTGAGATTTTCTGTTTAACAAACTGAATTATTTTTCCTTGAGCTCGTAAATATTCTATTAATGCTCTTTTTTTTAATATATCACGTGTAATTACTTATTAATTACATAAAGAGTTAATTTCACAAATGGTCACTGAAGTTACAGCAAAATTTCAAAATGGTCACTGAAGTTCGAAACTTAAATAAACCGGTCACTCAACTTACAATCACTTTCAGAAATGGTCACTGAGCAAAATTAAGGGACTTCTTTATTCTAATTAAAACCTAAATTAACAAAACAAGGCCCTTCAAAATTGGAGGGGCTAAAGTGGAAAATTCAACCAACACCGGCAGAACTTCCCATCTGTCACCGCCGACTTCCACCTCCAAAAAACCACCAATCCGCCCCCTAGACCGCCGAGTATCACCACCTCACCCACCCAACAAATCCCAACCTCACGTCGCCCCCAAATGCCCTCTCATAGCCATTCGGTCACAGTTCGCAGCCAAAAAATTTGGCGACAACCACTATTCCGATCACACCCATCACGCCCAACACATATGGGCCTCTTCTACACTCGAAGGCGCATCCAACCATGGTTTCATATCATCAAATAGTGAAGCAATTCAAAATTTTCAAGCCCAAATTCCAGTCCCTCACTCACGCGTATAAGTTCAGTGAATCCACCTCCAATTGACAGGCAANGCGTATAAGTTCAGTGAATCCCCCTCCAATTGACAGGCAAAGTGATGTTATTGCTACAAATTGGACCCAGTAAAACTTTCAGCAGGTCAATACAATATTGGGTAACTCCTTAATTGAATCGATTGATCCATTACTTGCTCCAATTTTTTGAATCAAAATCAACCCAATTTTAGCCATTTGACATAAAATATGCCCTATTTTTTTATTCTTGCTGTCTATTGGTGGTGGATATGGCGTCGGTGATGTGCCTTACGGCGACTGCTGGTGGTGGTGATTGTGGTTGATTTTAAGGAGGGAGATCAGAGACGGGTTTGGGAGTTCAGAGACGGGAAGGGAAGGCATAGGGTGTTTTATCCAAAGAAAATTGCACTTCAGCCCCTCCAATTTTGAAGGGGCTATGTTTTGTTAATTTAGGTTTTAATTAGAACAAAAAAGTCCCTTAATTTTGCTCAGTGACCATTTCTGAAAGTGATTGTAAGTTGAGTGACCGGTTTATTTAAGTTTCGAACTTCAGTGACCATTTTGNTTTCGAACTTCAGTAACCATTTTGAAATTTTACTGTAACTTCAGTGACTATTTGTGAAATTAACCCATTACATAAACATTACATCATTAATTATTTAATTACCCAAAAAAATAACATCTTTATTAATAACAAATTAATTCTTTTTTTTTTTACGGAAAAAAAGTTATCTATTCATCAAATCGGCAAGCAGTACATTTGAAATAAACAAAGGCGAAAAATAAGACCATTCAACATTAACATGTGATGAGCTAGTGGCCTTAGCAAGCGTGTGAGCTACTTGGTTAGTAGATCTCCTAACCCAGCTGAACTTGAGATTTGATAATTCTCTAGCAAGAAGACGGTACTCACTAATAAGAAGACCAAAGTAAGTATTGTCCTCTTCAACATTCTGTAGAGCACTATAAACCAGAAGGGCATCCATTTCAATGGTTTGGACCTCAGGAAATTTAGCTTTAATCCAAGAAAGGGCCTCTCGAACCCCCAAAGTCTCGGCTAAAAGTGGATCAACAATACCTTGTACAGAAACAACTCTGGCTGCAATAAATGACCCCAAATTGTTCCTAATCACAAGGCTGAGCCCAGCCTTCCTTTGGTTTTCAAAGATGGCTGCATCAATATTTAATTTAAAGGAACCCATAGTAGGTGGTTTCCACTCATCATTCTCCGGTCTATTGGAGTTAGCAGTGATTTTTGGTAAGGAATGATTAGCATCACGCCATTGCTGGAGGAAATTTTTTGCAAAAGACACCACTTTAAGCACTGTAAACGACTTAACTTTCCAAAACGGTTTCATTTCGGTTCAACCAGATGACTCAACAAATCATAGAGATAATTTCCTGTTCTTGGTGATGATTTTTAAGGATATCTATGAGCCATTCTTTGAAGTTTGCAACCGAGAGAGATGAACTGACTACTCCAACTGCCTCCTAAACGTTTTGGGCAAATTCACAAGAGACAAAAACACGGAGAACGGATTCTTTGTGCATCAAACAAACCGAGCAGTGACTCTCAATATTGACTCTTTTAGCCCTCAGCTGATCAACTGTTGGAAGAACATTTTGTAATGCCCTCCAGAGTAAATTTCAAACCTTTGCTGGACTTTTATATTTCCAAAATTTATTCCAAAAGCTCTTTATGGTAGTATGAGAATGTATGCAATAATTGCCCATCAACAACTTATATCCACTTCTAACCGTGTAAGCACCCTTTTTGTCATGAATCCAATACATTCGATATTCCCTCCCATGTGCTGTTAAGGGAATTTTCGTGATCTGACCACGGTCTACCTCATTGAAAAGGTCAGCAAAAAGATTATAATCCCAATTGTTCTCACCTGCTATGAAAAGTTGATTCACAGTGGTAACTTCTCTCCCTGGACTTGGTTCTGAAGTTACAAAACCTTGGTTGGGGTTAGGAATGGCTTGGGCGACGGTCTTGATAAGGATCTCTTTTCCCACTCTAGATAGGCACTTCTCTTTCCATCCTTGCACTAGTTGCCAAACCCGATCTTTAATGGAAGAGAACACTTCTCTTTTCTTTCTTCCAATAATAGATGGCAAACCAAGGTATTTGTCATGACCTTAGAACGCCTGGATACCAATAAATGACCCCAAACTATTAAATATAAACTAAGCAAACGTACATTGCACGTTGCTTACACCTAGTAATAGAAAAAGTGGCTATATAACGGAATTTTCTTGTTTTAACGGAAAAACTAATGGAATTTGACGGAATTTCTTGTTTTAATAGAAAAAATATAACGAAATTTCTTGTTTTAACGGAAAAACGGAAAATCTATTTTCACTTTTTTTTCTTTTTTTACAATTCTTCAATTATTTTTTATTTCTATTTAATAAAATTTTAAAGTTGCTGGCCCATTTATTTATAGGCCTGTGTATGTATCACCATCTCCGCAAACTTTCGATGTGGGAATTGGAATCAAAGATAAGATAAATAGCATGTCTATGTATCATCATCTCCACGCAATTGTTAAGGATTTTGCCTCTCTTTGTAACGGCTCGTCTCCAGAGTCCACTCTTCACGCAACTCAATTCCAACTCAACTCAATTTGATTGGAGGATCTGCTATTGAAGAGTCCATTTGGAGATGGATGTAATCAGGTTTGGCCATGTAGGAGAAGATGAAGGCTTAGAGATGAGGGTCTGTGATGGCGAGTGGAGATTGATCGATAACGATCGGCAAGGTGTGACGAGGTGGTTGGCTGGGTATTTTAGGTGATAAATGTACGGCGACGAGCGGTATTGATTGGAGGATCAGGTATTGATGGGCGTGATTGTTGAAGCGAAGGGAAACGAAGTGGGTGATAGCCAGCGGGTTGTTGTTAGGCGACGAAGATAGTGGAATGTCTAGCAGGCAGCGGTGGTAATATGGTTGTAGAAGGCAAATGCCGTAGAGGGGTGAACGGAGAAGAGACTGTGGCCTGTGGAAGTTGTAGGCAGTATGGGCTGTAGCCTATGGAAATTGTGGGCTGGGTTATTGGCTTATTGGGCTTATTGAGTTAGTGTATGTGGCTGGGTTAATTTGTTAGGAATTAGGATTTTATTTTGTGCAGTTTCGTTGATGGAACTCTTCAAATTCTGGAGTCACTTTTATTTTCCAAAGACGTGAAATCGTTGGTGGAAGTGAGATCGGCATTGACAGAGTTCATGAGAGATGAATCGATCCAAATCCTTCAAGAAATTTCACAAAAATCTGTGGACTATAAGCTTCTATGTACTGATTTTCTGATTCGTGTTTTCGCGCTTATTGGTGATGTTCAGGTATTATTCTGTTCCATTCTCTAAAATTAATCTAATGTAGAGACATAGATGGTGACAACAACACTTTGAATTGAATAAGAATGTAATTGTTCATTGTAATGCAATGAGAGACAAACATTCAATGTGGATTGATTTTGTCTTAATCTAACGTTACTTGATATTTTTTCATTTATATAATTTAGCAGTAATTTCATTAGAATTTTTAGAATATATTTGAAAACTTATAGTCTTGATGATCACAATATTATTGTCATTTTCACTTGATGCCAAATGTTTTACAAATAATTTAAGCCATGTTTTGTTATTGTCTTCAGTTTTGTTGATCATATATAAAGGAAAGAAATACACTTTAAACAAATACTGGAATTAGTGGCTACCAATTTCGTTAGATCAGTTGGACTCAATAAAGAAAGAATAATTCAAGAGAACATAAAAAAAAAAATTTCTAATCATGAAATACAAGAATTTAATGTGGTTCGACAATATTGCCTACCTCCACTGCCCCCCATGCCAATTCTTCACTATATCAATTAAAGAAAAAATGAATACAAAAATACACTCTTTATATTTATATCTGCCTATGCAAAGGCTTTGTTCTCATTTCTGTCATTCACTACTGAAGCTTTGTATAGCTTCCGATTCCCTTCAAATTTTTCACTATCCAAACCCATCTATATAAGCACAAGTTTTTGGATGAGTAGTGAATTCATTTGTCAGCATTTTTGGTTAGTCTTCTCCAATTATTAAAAGGTTTTTTTGGTTTCACACGTGCAGTAAATATTTGAATTAAATGTGCCATCCAATTTTTCCTTACCTATAATGTGAAAGACCAAGTAGCTCAATGTGGAATAAGAAGCCTACATTTGAGCTCCATTATTCAACAGTTTCTTTTTCAGTTTTTCCAGGAATACTTGCTTTTTATAATGAAGTACCTTCATAGAGGGCGTAGACAAATAATTCGATTTTATGACACATGCTGTCTTGCAATTTGATTTTTGGCAGAGTTGCTTGTCCTTGAGATATGAAGCATTGGTTATGCGAGAACAAAAGACCACCACAGATCCCAGGCTCCAAGTTTCATGCGCTGAATGGCTCATCTTTGCCGAGAATTTGCTTGATCACAACTTTTACTCCATTGCAAACAATGGTTGTTGTTAGCTTATTCTGCTTTAGATCTCTTACGTCTATGAAGATATTTGTGACTGCATTGCGGCATTGGCTTTTGCTGTATGTATCGAATAATGAATTTTACTGATCTCCAAATTAATGCTGTCACCAATGCGTTTTTATCCTGATCACACCATTATTAAGAGGCAATAGAGGAAATCTTCCATAAAGTATACACCACGAGCTGTCAAAGCTTGCTTACATTTTTGTAAGTTTTTTCTTACAGACACCTTAAAGTTTGTTGGGATGGCATCACCCAGGATAGAGATTAGGCACCATGTTCCTCGATGAGAAAAGACTCAGTTTTAATTCTTATATTCCTTTTTCCAGATGTTCAAGTGATGTTTCTTTCTGAGAGGTTATCTGATAAAGTAATTTGTATTTTTGCAACCAATTTCCTATATTTTTAGTTGTGGGTATTATTACTTTGCTTGTGATAAATTCAACAATTAATTTTATTGAGGAGAATAATGCTGGCAACGCATCAGTAGCTCTCATGGCCCGTCTTACTCCAAAAGTCAATGTTAAATTGATATTATCTTATGTTGAAGTTACCATGAATGGTTTGCCTTGTTTGTTTTTATCTGATAAATAATAGCTATTATGATGTAGGTTCTTACAGACGGGAGGTGGCGTGAGGAAGATGCTACGATTTTAGTCCTCGGTGATGTAATCAGTATTAAACTTGGCGACGTTTATTTATATGACCATGCTATAGATTCTATTAATGTTTTTTTTTTAATATATCACATCTAATTATTTATCAATTACATAAATATTATATCATTAATTATTTAATTAACCAAAAAATTACATCTTTATTAATAAAAAATTAATTCTTAAACAAAACGATTAAATATAAACTAAGCAAACGTGCATTGCACGTTGCTTGCACCTAGTATATATATATGAGAATGAGGATCACCTTGTATTTCCAATGTCACAAGTGCATTTACTGTCTCTAAGGTTGTACCGAGGTACCCACAAAGTGAAATGTTTTAAAATTTAACGAACTTATACATTGATTAAGAACTACTTATTGAACTTCAATTTACTCATTGAACTTATCTCGTTTGCACTCTATCCATCACTCATTAAAATCTATTAAATCTTTGCAGACATAGGGGAATTGCGTGGCAAACGGGATAAGTCCAGTGAGTAAGTTGAAGCAATTTAAAGTTTAGCGAATAGTCCGTGACCAATGTACAAGTTCAGTGATTTTGAAACATTTCACTCAGTACCCACAAGATAAATCAATAATATTATTTTTGGATAAATAACGCGAAAACAAATTTCGGAATGTTTTTATGGTTTGGAATAGGCACGTTTGTATCTAAAACCATCAACTAAAATTGGAATGTTTTTATTCTGGACATTCTTTGTTGCAGCCTTTATTTAATCGAAAAAAACAGCTATTTTTGCTGCAACAAGAAAAGGCCAATTTTGTACCTTTGTATGTGACCACAAAATTATCATATGATTTACACTTTTTCACATTCAAAGTAGAACGGTTAATATGGTAGCTTGTCTGATTGAGCATATCAATCTTGAAATTTGTGTGCTCATTTTTTTAATATTAATCGAATCGAATCGCTCATGAGAGTTTAATGAGCTTTGATATTATGTTAAAACGGATAACATCCCAAATCTTAATATAAGTATCATTTATGAATAACAAAATTTGAAATTGAAAACTTACAAAGTTAAGCAAAAATAAAATAAGTGATTACCAACCCCAAAAAGTGAAAATTAAACTTTAACAAACAAGAGAGAGAATAGGGGAATTGTTACGAGTGAGATGGAAAACCCACTCCATCAAGAACCGCTTCACAATCTTCACGCTTGGTTCCACCACCTGTCTTTCCCAAATATCTGCCACCCTTTTGCCGGCCAACTTCGCCTTGATGGAGTGGGTTTCCATCTCACTCGTAACAATTCCCCTATTCTCTCTCTTGTTTGTTAGAGTTTAATTTTCACTTTTTGGGGGTTGGTAATCAATTATTTTATTTTTGCTTCTGTGAACATCTTTTACATGGTTTTTTTCTAGGAGGAGGATGAAGAATTAGATGGCCCTATGAGAAATTGTGATACTATTCAAGATAACAGAAAATCATTATATTTTTCTGAACGCCGCCGTGGCGTCTATTCTCTTCAGGTCCCACCCGGCGGCGTCCCTCAGCCGAAGGCTCTTCCCCAGTTGTCTTTTAGCCAGTTGACACGTGACTGCCTTGACTGCTCCTCGTACGCTAGCCCATTTTCCACGTCAGCAACCGCTTTATATTTAAATCCATTAAAATATTTTGTGAACTCCGGCACCCCAATAGCTTTTTTTAACCCGGATTGACTCACTGAGTCAGAATCGGGGTCATTGAAATAATCTGCTAACTCTTCGAACATCCCCGAGTCGAGCATGTCGTCGACTCGCTTGACTAAATACTGATTCAAAACGGGTAAAGAAACATCCACCCAGAGAAAACAACAGCTGTAACGAACCTGTTTACAAAAGACCGAGTTAATCGAGTCTGACTCGCTGAACACGTCTAATTCGGGACTGAATTTTTCAGCCAGAAGTGCGTAGATGAACGAGTTGGACCCACCGGCGATAATGGGCATATTACGGCGGGATAGAATCTTCGAAATGGTAGCTGCACCGTGTGATCGATAATCGGAGGGTGTGAACTCGGGATGTGAGTTGGACGGGTGGAACTCGCCAAGGAGATGGTAACGGGATTTTGTTGGTCGTGATGTCAAGGTCATTGTAGACTTGGATTTTATCAGAGTTGATGATCTCCGATGAGTGAAGAATCTGGAGGCTAAGTCTACAGAAAGCTTTGATTTACCGGAGCCCGTGGCTCCCAATATCACGACTATTTTCTTATTCCGGCGAGTTCCAGCGGCGGCGGTTGTAGTGGTGGTCATATGGGCCCACCTGGGACGTTTTTTCGAAACGGAGGGACTGAGAAGAGTGCTGTGGTTTTCGTAGGGAAAGTGGTGTGTTGTTGGCAAAAATATTGAATAATGCTCATTGTACATTGTTTTGTTGATAACAAGTTTCACATCATGTATAAAGTCAAATTGTGTTAGGCGGGAAAGTGTGTTGTTTTCAAAAATTGTCCAATGTGATGTCGTCATGTGGCACAATGTCAAACTTGATGTCAAAGTTAGTTTACTTGTCGCATGGTTGGATTAGTTATTTGTCGTGAGAATGGCGTGGCAATATTGATCAGAGAATCGCCATTTTTGATGCCTCGTCATTAGTAGTTTATCTTCTTCTTGATTATTCAACTGCTCTGTGTATTTTTTCCCTCTTTTTTTCTAGAAACAAGTGCGTGATAAAAAGCTTTTCTAGGCATTTTTTTTTTGAAACAAATTCTATTATTTTAATGGACAATTTTCATGGAAAACAAACTCAAACAAATACCAAAAGATCCAAAATTTCAATATTTTTCAGATGAAAAATTATATCAATAAAACACAATTAATTGACAATTTTCAGTAAAACAAGTTCTAGGCAATTCGATTCCCTGGAATTCATTTTCTTTCTACTCAAATTCATTTCTTGCAATCAAACAGAAACTTACTCGAACAAGACTCTTGAGGGAAAAGCACACTCGTAAGGAGGGAAAAATATGAAAATCATTCTACAATTGAATAGTCTAATTAATTTGAATTTCTCGTGTTTTCCTATTTTCTTTGCGAATCAAATATTTTAGGAAACCTTAAGGCATCCTGTGCATCTCAGTGTGTGTGTTTTTTCCAACTTTGAATCTGTGTTGTTGATTTCAAATTACTGTACCAATTCTGTACGTGTGGACTGATTGAAAATTTTAAGATCAGAACACGATGTCGTACCTAATTGATATCACTCTTGCCTTTCCAACTCTAGCTAACATTCTCAAATCTATAATTACAAAGAATCATTCCAAATGGGATCCTTTTGATATACTTCGTAACATCACCACTATGAAGTCTTGTCTTCTCACTCTTCTTCTCTTTCTTGTGTCCTTTATTTTCATTGGAATCCCACTCACTTTTTCTGGGATTAACACCAGAAACAAGTACATGCTTATTCAAGTCAAAAAAATTTTCACCATGTCTAATGCTTTGTTTCGTGGCTTCATTAATCTTCCCACAACTTCTCTTTTGGTATGCTTATCTCATAATTTTGCTTCTCTTTTTATGCTGGACGCGTATTTCAAGTATGTTGGGGAGCTTCGTGCAGGCTTTTCAATTAATGCTTTCTACAATTTCTGATCGCATCATATTCATCGGTGTTATAAATATTGAAGATGAGCCAAACCCACTTGAACAAGTTTAGACCGAATCTGAACTTGACTTGAACAGGTAGAATCCCAGTTCAAAAATCATTTATAGGTTGTAAGCTCATGTTTAACTTATATCGTGTTGTACTTTCACTTTGATATTAAATCAACTTATGTTAGATTACATTCATGAATAAATGTCATGTTGATTCATAAGAGATATATTGTCTTATTCCAGCGGGTGGTGTCCCTTCTTTTGTTCTGATCTTGCTTGGAAAAGGCTTGGGTAGGGTCAGTTCGTTTGGCGCTACGAGACTCTCGTACCCCTCTTTCTATCCAAAGAAATTTAGCCCTTAATTAAAAGTGGTACAACAATAAATGGTTGAATATCAAGATTTTTTTTATTGAAACCCCAGATGTTAGTTGACAACTTTCAACATCTAATTCTCTGTTGAGCATCCACAAAAGTATATAAAGTTTTATTGCACAATAAAGCTTCAAATTGGCAACCAAAAATACAACAATGTACAAATTACAAAGATAAAGTCACAGAAGACTTATTTTTTACATCCAAACAACCCATTTGAAATCGAGAACTGGTCAAGTCTCGAACAGTTTTTGATTCTTTACCCGTTCTTGATTCTTATACATAATATGGAGATTGATTCTATCGACCTTATGTGGGTGACACCGTGACAGCATAGAGACACTACAAAATATGTTATGTAA